AAACCGCCCCCTCCCCATCCCGGGGGTCTCTCCCAGGTGACCCCCGGGGGCTCCGGCCGCACTTGGACCACGCTGGTGCTGAGCGAGAAGCCCCCCAAAAGTGGGGAGGAGCCCCCCAAAAGTGGGGAGAAGCCCCCCCAGGACGTGCCGTACCCCGAGGATCTGCTGCTCACCCGCCTCTTCCTGCCCGAGGGTCTGCACCCCAAAAAATCTGGGGGGGAACCCCCGGCTTTGGGGGGTCTGGGGGTCCCCCGTGATGGATTTTGGGGGGTTTGGGGGGGTTTGGGGGGGTCCTGAGCCTCTTCTGGGGAGGGGTCTTGGGGTCATTCAGGGGGATTTTGGGGGGGGTCCCCAATTCCTGGGTCATTTTTGGGGGGGATTGGGGGTCTCTGGGTCCCTTTTTGGGGTCCCTGAGGGGGATTTTGGGGGGGGGTCCTGAGAGATTTGGGGGTCTCTGGGTCCCTTTTTGGGGTCCCTGAGGGGGATTTTGGGGGGGGGTCCTGAGAGATTTGGGGGTCTCTGGGTCCCTTTTTGGGGTCCCTGAGGGGGATTTTGGGGGGGGGTCCTGAGAGATTTGGGGGTCTCTGGGTCCCTTTTTGGGGTCCCTGAGGGGGATTTTGGGGGGGGGTCCTGAGAGATTTGGGGGTCTCTGGGTCCCTTTTTGGGGTCCCTGAGGGGGATTTTGGGGGGGGGTCCTGAGAGATTTGGGGGTCTCTGGGTCCCTTTTTGGGGTCCCTGAAGGTTTTGGGGTCCCCCCCAGGCCCCCCCGGGCACTGCCTGGAGCAGCTGCGCCCCGAGGACATCGTGGGGGTCACGGCCAAGACCCTGCGGGTGAACCCCGAAATTCTGCTGCAGGAGCTGCGGCCCCCCAAGGGACCCCGGCCCCGGTGAGGGGTCCTGGGGGGGATTTGGGGGGCCTGGGGGGGAATTTGGGGAATCTCAGGGGGTCTGGCAGTGGTTTTGTGTCTCTCCCCACAGATTTGGGTCTCTCCCCACAGATTTGGGTCTCTCCCCACAGATTTGGGTCTCTCCCCACAGATTTGGGTCTCTCCCCACAGATTTGGGTCTCTCCCCACAGATTTGGGTCTCTCCCCACAGATTTGGGTCTCTCCCCACAGATTTGGGTCTCTCCCCACAGATTTGGGTCTCTCCCCACAGATTTGGGTCTCTCCCCACAGATTTGGGTCTCTCCCCACAGATTTGGGTCTCTCCCCACAGATTTGGGTCTCTCCCCACAGATTTGGGTCTCTCCCCACAGATTTGGGTCTCTCCCCACAGATTTGGGTCTCTCCCCACAGATTTGGGTCTCTCCCCACAGATTTGGGTCTCTCCCCACAGATTTGGGTCTCTCCCCACAGATTTGGGTCTCTCCCCACAGATTTGGGTCTCTCCCCACAGATTTGGGTCTCTCCCCACAGATTTGGGTCTCTCCCCACAGATTTGGGTCTCTCCCCACAGATTTGGGTCTCTCCCCACAGATTTGGGTCTCTCCCCACAGATTTGGGTCTCTCCCCACAGATTTGGGTCTCTCCCCACAGATTTGGGTCTCTCCCCACAGATTTGGGTCTCTCCCCACAGATTTGGGTCTCTCCCCACAGATTTGGGTCTCTCCCCACAGATTTGGGTCTCTCCCCACAGATTTGGGTCTCTCCCCACAGATTTTGGGGCTCTCTGTGTGATTTTTGCATTTCTCCCCATTTTTTGTGTCTCTCCCCACACATTTTGTGTCTCTCCCCACAGATTTGTGTCTCTCCCCATTTTTTGTGTCTCTCCCCACAGATTTGTGTCTCTCCCCACAGATTTGTGTCTCTCCCCACACATTTTG